AGTTCAAACGTCCCCTTCCTTAGATGGCTTTCCCTGTGACTGTCACTGCTTCGAGATGGTCTTCACAGTCGGGTCGCGCGGCACACATAATTTGACCTACCTTCGCCAGACAAGAAACTGCAACACAGAAAATTTCATTCATGGTGCTCACTGTGGAATTGCGAATCAGTCGTATAATTATTTATTCCAGTCACACTCCATGAAATATAATATGAGTGGTACGAACATCACTTCAAGTCGATTCCTCCACCAAATGTTAGGAAACTGCGGTACTTTACTTAACATCATGGCTGTCGTAACATCGTCGCCATATGAGGTTTCTTTGTCCGCTTTCACGATTAACTTCAATAGTTGCTGATGGACTCTTTTCACTGCCCTCAGGGACCGATCACCAGAGGAACGAATTACGCCTTTTACTCTTCAGATTTTTTGTATGTCCGTCCTCAATTCTTGATAATTAAGCATCTTTCCTCATCCGTTAAATAAAGGTTGTCGTAAATCGAGTGATATCAGTGCTTTGTCCAGTCTTTTCAGTTTGTCTACGAACTCCATATGAGGCGGATGAATCGATATTAATTCTCAGTTCGCATCGGGAGCTGCCAGACAAAATTTCAAACTGTTCAGTCTCGACTGATGTTTCCACCATTACATTGCCACTGGCTCAGATGCTAGTGGGCTATCCTCTGCGACGTGGGTCGCGACGTGGTTCAGTTGACATCGTCAACATGTTGTTTTGGCCGCGAATGCAGGATCGTCTTCTTGCATGAGTTTGTGCTCAGTACTTGGTCTTGGGAAGTCATTAGAAGGATTCCTGTTTCGCCATGAAGTTAACTTGTTGACAGAGTATCGAAGGTTTGGTAGATGTCTGCCTTTTTTGAGTTAGCAAAGATACCGTTCATGAACCTCCTCACTCCAACTGTTTACTGTTCTAGCCTGCAGAGGCAGTTGACCTCAACAAACGCCAACACGATACAGTTCACTGCAACTGCCAGATAATGCCTTACTGATCACGTCTGTAATTCCAACCTATCGTTGTTAACAACGAAAAGTCATCTTCTCCTTTGTCCCGGGCATAATTTCTCCGCGTCTGCTTTTCTACGCACTGTCCTGTACATGTTCAAGATCTCCCATGTACTTCTAGCTAGTTCTTGCCTTTCCGCCTGCGACTATTCGACGATCACTTCAGCACTGATTAATGGCCACAAATTTGTTGTTCGTGGACCACGTTGGTGGTGCTCAGGATTTTCTTCTCGTATTCTGCTTCTACCGTAAATTTCTCTTTTGCATGTAGTACACTATCAACGTCTAACATGTCAAGGCATTTAGAGGACTCTCATTTTTCCAAGATATTTATTTTACAAGTCGATAGCATCATTTCATCTTATCGTCATTACTCAAATCTTTTTCTAGCTCTTAACCTCAGCCATAACGTTTTTTGTATAGACCGAGTTCGTGCCCTTTGCACCAGATTATCCAACTGATTTCGCGTACAACTTGAGATATTACACTGCGCTTTCTAACGCTATATTCTTTCCTGCTGTTATTCAGCACGTAACTGCGCGGATTCAATATCTGACAAACCAGAACCGGCGAGACTGAATCTGGAATATCTCTTGCTTGACCTTCACCGATCCCATGGAGACCTTGCTATATAACCGTGGTTCGCCAGTGGTTCATCGCTACTCCTAAGAACTTTACTTGAGCCATCCTGGATCCAGCTATGTGACACTGAGTCAAATGGATTCCTAATGTCTAACCAGGCCATGACCATGTTAGCCTTTCTTGTTTTGCAGTCCTGAAGAAGCGCCTTATCCAAGAGCAGTTTGTCCTGAGGTCTCCTTGATTCGGTCCGGTAGCCTTTCTGTTCAGTAAATGTGGAGTTGCTCCCTTTGAAATGCTAATTAATGTTTGCGTTGACCAATACAGACCGATACTCCTATTCTTGTCTTTTAACATAAGCTATATCATCTCTTCCGTTAATCAAGTAGGTATTCCTTCTTCAAAAACTCGCCGTGAGACTACTATTCGTTAATGCAGACGCGCTACCTGTACAAACCAGAAGATGTCTCCTAGTAGAATCCCGTTCGCGGTCCAAGTCTGGAGCTGGCCCATCTTCCAAGTACCTGAGTACCTCGATGGTTGTGACTTCTCCTTTTGCATGTCCTTTACCCAGTCAGCTGGAATCACTGATTGATACATAAAAATTCAATGTGATCTAGTAACTGAATGGCAATCACTGCTGCGTAATACTTCATCTGCACCTGGTCATTTTGTTGTTTACAACTTGGCTATTCACTGTCCCTAATTTTCAACTGTTTTCTCAGAGCAGGAGTATCGTAGAACAGGATGTTGAAAGCAGTCACGGAGCTAGGAGGCTGTTACCTCATTGAAGGGTGCGATCGAAACGAAGACCGAGCGTCAGACCCGAAGCATCGGCGGTTGAGATTTCGTGGAATCGGCTGTGTACTGCTGATGAATGTGGTACATTTTAGTATCAACCTGAAGTACTTCACTTCTCTTGGACCTGAAAAGGTCGTTAAGGAAAACAAGAGGATGCAGGAACAGAGAAAATAACGTTATTTACCGCCTAGACGTCTATTTGTATAGCCAAACGCTGAACTAGCATTTTTTGGAAATATTAGCAACAAATCCTGAAGACCTGGTGGGGCGATTAAGAATCACTACTTTTCTACCTTCCTGGAATTATAAAAATCGCCATGCTGTTGAATTCTTTCTTTCTCTGGGATTTTTGCCATCATGAAAGATGTATATCTGAGCAGGAAGGCAAATCGTTAGTGCCATCTAATTAATTAATAAAATTAATAATAGAAATGAAGAGACTTTGGCATCGGGAATAAGAATACCGTCAAACTAC